CACACACATACACACACACACACAGGTTTGCTGGAAAGTCAGATTGATTGACAGATGACCTGTGACCTCTCATCAGTCTCTCCACCCTCAATCTCATTCCAGCCAATCAGGGCTCATGATTTATTCAAATCAGTCACTCAGGATCAAAATCTGAATAATAAATCAGGAACAGCCACGGCTCACCATGCCATCTATTAAACACACACACACACACACACACACACACACACACACACACACACACACACACACACACACACACACATACACACAAAAGATGATGTGGATAATTCACACTAAAATAATTGATTATTTATCAGAAGGAGTGCTGACGTGAATAATGGATGAGTTCATCAGAGCAGATACTGAGTGACCGGAGGCTTTAATAAACATACACACACACACACACACACACACCACGGTTTCATGTATTTTTTTTTCATAATTCAAAAACAAAAACTGTCAGATGTAAGCTCCACACCCTCTGATTCTCTGTCTCTGATTGGTCAGAACACTAAAATGTGTGTGTGAGTGATGCACAGATTTACATACAGCCCCACAAATCTGATTTATTTTTTAAATAGTGTGTATTATTTAACGAAAACTGGGCAGTTTATTAATGAGAAATTGAAAACTAAACTGTATTTAACTACAGTGTGTGCAAAATTCCAACACTTCATATAATATTTATATCATTTTATTGGATTTCATCATGTAAATTATATTTATAACTTTTTTTGTTAATTTTTACTGTTACTGAACTCTCACTGGAGCATAAATGAGGCAACACACATACACACACACACACACACACACTCACACACACAGAGTCTGAATGAGAGTGTGTAAACACAGAGATCACAGATCTGCTAGTTCCCCGACTCTCACTCGTCCCCTGAACACTACACAATTCTTCAGTCCTGCAACTGATCCACAAAGCTGACTTTACCAAAGTGTCAGTCTCACACACACACACACACACACACACACACACACACACTGAAGCAACATGGTGTGTGTCAGGGTCCAGATGGTGCCGTCATGGCTGTCAGTGCCGCCGTATCCCACAATGCACCTGTGACAACTGGAACATGTGTATCCAGTCACAGTGTGCCGGCTTTGGAGACTAATTATCACACACACTGAGACAGAGACGAATGACACACACACACACACACACACACACACAAAGAGGTAAGAGGACACACACTGTATAAATTTTCCTCTCATTAACCCCGCCGTCAAAATGAGCCGCTTTAAATTTCACTAAAAGTCGATTAAAGCTTTCCAACAAGCACTTTATTAAAATTATATAATGTGACTGAATGACACCTGAACTGTGTGTGTGTGTGTGTGTGTGTGTGTGTGTGTTGTACTAGTGTTCCAGGGTGTATTCCTGCCTCATACCCAGTGTTTTCTCAGGATAGACTCCAGATCCACCATCACACTGAGCAGGATAAAACCTCACTGAAGATGAAAGTCTGAGACAAAGGTGATGTTCAGAGTCATTCTGAGTTCAACAGATCAGACAGAAATCATTCTAATACATTCTTTATTCATTCATCATACAATCATTTACATGGATGCTGGAGACTTACAGCTAAAACTCTAATGAAATCAGAAATGACCCTGATGCTGGTGTTGAGATTATTTCAGCACACTCAGTACTGTTGTAGTGAGTAGTATACAGCTGTAGAAGGTAAATGGTTTAGATTCTCACTATCCAGAGTCACGCAGAAGAGGATAGATTGCTTTTGGAGTAACTCTCTTTGTCGGTGTGCTCCCTCAAATGTCTCTCTGAGCCACTTTATCCACATCAGCCACTGTGGAGCAAACAGCAACATCTCCCACATACGTACACCACATAACTGCGACGGCGTTCCACAAGAACCGAACCGCGTTAGTTACCAACCAACATCAGAATCATAATGCATACACGATTATAAAAGGAAATAATATAGTTGTGCAGTTCAGTTAACACTATTCACGTTTCACAAACTCACTAAAACACCAGAAAAATAAACATGTGACAAATAAAGATAAATGTCAGCTGTACCCAAAATACAAAGAATAAAACACCAAAATACCCAAATAAACCTCAAACACAACACAATATACAGAAAAATATGCTCTGCCACATGGAATTTACAAAACACTAAATAATATTACAAATATGAAACCATCCATAAAAATAATTGGACATTTACATAAATAAACATCTTAACAATATATTTGTTTAACCAGCCTGAATGGCCAATATAATTAAATAAATAAAATATATATCACAGAGAACTACGATAACCCTACCTTTGCACAAGGAAACAGAACTGTGACTAAACAATAGTGATGTGTCGTTCATGAACACTATGACTCGGGAACAACGAGCGATTCGTTAATTTTATCTTGATCGCGCACGCACTGCAGCTTCCCTATACGTCCTGTACAGGAAACAGAAATTATTAGTTCACATCTCGAGTCTTCGTGTTCGAGTTGTTCGTTCATCATGTCACAGCCCCATAGGCTGAATGCAGTAGGGCTGTGACGTGATGAACGAACGACTTGAACCCGAAGACTTGAGAGGTGAATAATCATTTCTGTTTCCGGGGAACAGACATGACATATGTGATGTGACAAAAGAAAGAGCGAGTCGGATCAGGAGGTGAACTAACAGACCGCGTACCCTGAAGACCAGCTAAACTATTAATTAATCATTTCTGTTTCTCATAATTGAGAAACTTGGCTGCATTAGCCTATAGTTTATTTTTTATTCCAAATGTGATAACTGTTTGTGTAAGTATTAGACATGTTGTGGAATTTAACATCTAAATAACATCTACATGGAATTTATATTCTGCTGAAATGAACAAAATGAACAAAATGACTCAAAAAAGATTTGTTCATTTTGCTGAACGAGATTCAAAGATCCGAGTCAGTAAAATTATCCCTGGATTATTTGTAGTGAACTTCCCATCACTACTAAATAAGAGCTCCACCCATTTAAAGAAGGGCTCACTCGCACAATAAAATGCTTATAAAATATGCTCCCCCCTAAGGCTTGGAGAACAATCTTCCCATAAATAAAATTGAAAATGATTTTGAAATTGAATTGAACTAAACATGTAGGGGGCATGAGATGGACTGGAACCCAGTCCAGGGTGCACCCTGCCTTGTGCCCAATGCTCCCTGGGAAAGGCTCCAGAACCCTGAAAAGGAATAAGCAGTAGAAGATGGATGGATGAATGGAAGGAGGGGGCTGGGTAGCTTAGTAGTTGCAAACTTGCCTCACACCTACAGGGTTAGGGGTTTGATCCCCACCTCTACTCTGTGTGCATGGAGCTTGCATGTTCTCTCTGTGCCTCAGGAGTTTCCTTCAGGTACTCTGCTTTCCTCTCCAGTCCAAAGACATGCTTTCTGTAGGCTGATTGGCATTTCCAAATTGTTTGTTGTGTAGCTCCCTGTGACTCTGTGTAACTAAATGACAAAATATATTTTATTTTATTTATATTAGCAAATTTATATTAAAAATAAATAAACATGAATTGTTCATATTCTTATTATTTGGTATATAAAGAAAATTATATAATCTTTAAATAATCACCTGCTTCCTATTCCATCTGGACAATCCGCGCGCGCACACACACACACACACACACACACAGTCACAAACTTATAGACATAGGCTTGTGAGCTGATTATAAATAGTGCATAAATTTTGCCAACTAAAATGTTGAACATGAAGGATTATGAAACTGGATCAGTGTTGCGTCCTGCTCTTTGAATTAAATCTGATTAAATCCAGTTTAAGGAAATTGTGCTTAATTATTAAACACGTTTCTCACTAAACACACTGTTTAATTAGTTTAGTGTGATTGAATTTATTGCTTTGTGTATCTGCAACGCCTTAAATATAAAAAAAAAACCACTCATTCAGTTTCATTTAAAAATGTCATCAGTCCACACCGCCCGTGTTAGTGTCGAGGTAGAGGCTCATGTGTGACATTGCTCTTGTTTTATTTTCTGCATGTTATGGGGCGTGATGGCAGGCAAGTAGGCAGGATGCAATCGCAGTTCAAACGGAGATCTTTATTTGCACAAAGGAAAGCAAACAAAACAGAAACAAGAAACATAACTCAATCAACAAACTAAGCTAGGCTCACTTGGCTAAGGCTAATGCTATGGCTATTACTATAACCATGGCTAAGGCTAAAGCTAAAGCTAGAACATGGCATGAAACTGGGCAATACATGGCAAAACAACATATACATAAATTGCTATATCTGTTTATCGAACCGCGCCGTCTCGAGCACGGCTCACGATATATATAGGTCTCTCAGACATTAACCCGCAACCGTTATTAGCTGCCGGCAATTCCCAAACATACGTGACCCAATGAACTATGACCCTTGACAAGGCGAGACGAAGACCTGACGTCAACCCGGAAGAGATCCGCGCCATGCGCTGACACTAACATGACTCACCTGATATGAATCAAGGGTCATGCTGTGGCACATAATGAAACCTGTTCAACATTCAGAAGATTTATTTGTCACATGCATATTCATTGCTGATACAAAGGTGCAGTGAAATGAGAGGTGTATGTGTGTGTAACAAACAATAATTAAACTAGACAGACAATATACAATGAGTATAAGTTATAATGCATAAGGTTATAACATAACATACAAGAACATACAAAAAAGTACACATATGAAAAGGTATGTATGCATCTATGTACATATATTTAATATTAAAATATCCCATGCAAATATGTTGTATGTGACATGTATGTGCTGGTGTTGTTTGTGTGTGTGTATCTAAGTGTTAAGATCTGGAGTAGGGTCATGGGTTCAGGGTTCTGATGACTTGTGTAAATGGCAGCATGTGTGTGTAAATGGCAGCATGGTTGGATTTACTGAATACAGGTTATGGCTGTGAAGTCCTTGGATTGAGTGCAGAAGTGGTTCAGTGTCTTTTGCTCAAAGGTCCAACAGTGGCAGCTTAGCAGTGCTGGGGCTTGAATTCCTGACCTTCTGATCAGTAGGCCAGAGCCTTTAACCACTAAGCCACCACTGCTCCTGCTCCTGCCCCTGCACTTGCTCCTGCCCCTGCATCTGTCCCTGCTCCTGCCCTGATGAAGTTGATGATGACTGAGGTAAACCCTTGTGACAGGTAGAAAGGGTGGCATCTGATCGTCAGGTGTTCCAAGTTTCGGTGAAACAGAATCTATTGCAGATTGAAGAATGACACATAATATGTACTAAATAAATAATAAAGTCATAAATATAGTAAAACATTAATAAGATAAGCAGGCGATATTCGGCTCATTAATAGGATCAGATAAGTTAATTACATTAAATTTAAATGCACAGCAACTAGAAGCAGAGTTAAGTTTTTACACAAAACAGCAATTTGTTCTCTGTAAACTGGAACTGTGTGGAACCATCTGGAACCTGGTCTCACTCCGAAAAAGAAAAGAAAAAACTATAGTAAATCTCAGACCCCAGTGTGTGTGTGTGTATGTGAGACTTCCTCTGACATGTGTGTATTAAATATTGCATTTAGAACTTAAGTAACAATTCTTGTATTTTATGCTTTGATGAATTCCTGTTCCAGCGGAGGTGCATCATGGGAAAAGAACAACACAGACCATCTGCAGTGCATGATGGGAAATTGTATGTGAGTGATTTAAATCAGTCACTTTGTGTTAGAGGATCTTTAGAGAATATTGAATATTTGATGGGGAACTGTGCAGAAGGTACATACACCTGTCATAATGACATTATAAATCTTTATAACATTCCTTATGAGGTGACAAAATTACATTTAATTCCCCAACTCATAATCTGAATCTCTTAAACACACATTAGCCTCTAAAATATCCTTAAATAATATCTAAATCCTGAAATAATGTCCAAGAAATTAATATCAGTTACTGGTAACATACAGATGGCCTGACAGCTTGTGGTAAGTGTAGCTTCGTTCACTAGTTTATACCTACAATTCACTCTGATTTCCACACTACTATTTGTACACACTATTTACCATACTCCAACACGAGAGGGCGATATAATGCAAAAGAAAAATAAACTTGGCGGACGGTAACAATTTTACAATGGCGGCAACTTTTGCAAATGTATGTGTAACTTTTCCATCCATCCATCCATCTTCTACCGCTTATTCCTTTTCAGGGTCGCGGGGGAACCTGGAGCCTATCCCAGGGAGTATCGGGCACAAGGCGGGGTACACCCTGGATAGGGTGCCAGTCCATCGCAGGGCATGTGTAACTTTTTATTAATTAAAATACATCTGTATCGATATATTTCAATGTGAAATGAAACAGATTATTGATGGATGAAACAGATTATTTATTATTAATTATTGAAATATGTTCAGCCACTTAATAGTTCGTGATGTAACTTTTAAATCTGCAACTGTACACATCAAATGATAATTTGGTGGATTGACTACTATCCACTGTCTTTGTACAGAAGATTTGATGTTAATCTTGTGCCTTTGCATCATTCTGTCTTTCTGAGGTAAATGAAAAGATTTGGACTCAATGAAGGAGGTAATCAGGAAGGCACTACCCAGGAGAATGATCATAACAATCTCATAGCACATTTGGTTGGTGTTGGTGTGCAGATGGACAGTGATCTCCAGTTTGTTACCTTAGAAGACATAAAAGATATTATTCCACTTATTGCTGGCTGAAAACTCATACACTATCTCAAGAACAGAGGTAAGAAATAATAGTGAGGCGCAAACCCTTGTTAATGCATTTATAATATTGGAAACTGAACAGTGCTGTAATATTTTTTAAAGATAAAAAAACAAAACAAAACAAAACACTTTTTTAAATCATTAATGTTACAATCTCTCAGCATGTTTTTTTCTCTCTCTTTTACAGTAAATTTAGCATATGGAGTGTTGACTTTAATGCTGTGTTTTGCAGAAGTTGTAAGATTTGATCTGACATATTGGTGTGAAAACACAGAGGTCCGCCCCTAGTGGTTTTGTTTGTCTATATAGTGTATATTTGTATATGGTTTGTTTGCGATGGGTTGGACCCTAGTATACAGCACATTTTACATTTTAATATTCAGTTTTAAAGGACATTTTAGAAGCTTTAGGGGTGGAGCAAATCTGATAGGACTTTAGAGCTGAGGTGAACTGCAAAGTACAAGTAGCCTAGTCATTGTTAATTTAAAAATATTGAGCAAGGCAGCTTTCAGCACACATCATAACCCTGTGTGATGTATAGCAAGGCATTTACATATTCCTGTGGTTGGTTTAGTGCCAAAGTTTGTCAAGAAATGTAGTGGATACTGGATAATTTTTCAGCTTTGGGTTTCTAAAGATTACATATAACGGCTGCCTAAAAAGTGCCCAAGCAATTGCAATAATACAATAAAGATGTTTTAATTCCTCACACAGACCATGAAGACATAACATCTTATCTATGGTGAGAAGTATTGTAGACTCAATTCAAGAAATATGCTTGAACCCTTCTAGAAACCAGTGTTCAGAAACTGCAAGAAGAATAACTGAAAAGTATAAAGCTTTTGCGTATGTAAAAATGGAAGGAGAGCTGATAGGCTGTGGTTATGGGTACTTGTTAAATCAGATAAAACAACAAGGGTTGAACATGTCAGTTGTGCTAACACACTGGTGAGAGTTAGACAACCAAAACATCATATCGGTGACAGTGAGTCTACACCAAACAGTGAGACCACCGCATCTAAAGTTTCAAAAACAGATAGCTATGGCTCCATTAATTGGCACCCTCTTGACCTACCAGAGGATGAGACTCTAGAATCAGTCGAGGAAAAAAGAAAGGAAATGGTTAAGTTATTTTCTCAAAAGGGACCCTGAGTCACAGAGTGTGGCCAGGTGGAAGAATTGATGAAGATGACATATGCATCTCAGCGATATGCCATCAATACCACCCACCCCCCACCAAGCATCAATGAAATCAAAGAACAGTGGCCGTTTCTGTTCATGAAGAGAGTGTGCTCACCTCAACCCTCTGACTTGGATTGATGTTAACACCAGACTCATAGAATCTCTTAGCATAAAGGGAAAAAAAGGTGTTACACTTTTTTGCAAGTCAACTTCCAGGGTGGAAAAAGGATGTCAGGACAGTCATGATAGACATAGACAGTGCTGGTGGTGGAGACATTGACTGTGGTGTTACATCTATGTCACAATGGCATACTTCAGAGAGAGGGAGGATTCACTCTTTTTTCTGGCTGAAGTAAGTATCAATGTTAATTTGAATAGCTGTTTCTAGAGAACATTGATTGTAATTAGGGTCACAGTTTGACATTTCAAAATACTATTCCTGTTTTTGTATACATGTGTCATGCATTTGAGTTTCCATTTTATTTTCATCATTCAAAAATCAAACTTTTACAGTTAATAAGTCTGTCATAGAACTTACAACTTAACTGTAGATTTCAAGAAAGGCAGATATACTTGAGCTGGTCCAGGGGTTGGATCACAAGATACAACCCATTGTGACATATAAGCATAACCTTTGTAGAAGGGCCTATTACATTTATATTTATTCATTGAACAGACGCTTTTATCCAAAGCGACTTATAAATGAAAAAATACAGGCAAAGCGATATATCAATCAGAAAATAATACAAGTAGTGCTACCATACAAGATCTGTTAATTGAGTTCCAGAAGAAGCAAAGTGTGCAGAGTAGAGGGGTAAGTGCCAGAGTAAGGTTTTTTAAACGTATTTTTTTATTTTTGTATTTTTGTTTAAGGGTTGGTTAGCTGTTCATGGAAGAGTTGGGTCTTTAGCTCTTTCTTGAAGATGGTGAAAGATTCTGTTCTCTGGATTGAGGTTGGAAGTTCATTACACCACTCAGGAACAGTTAGTTTGAAGGTTCTTGAAAGGGACCTTGAGCCACGTTGAGTAGATACTATTAAGCGTCGGTTGTTGATTTATCACATATTGCACGAGGGAAAGTAGGCCTTCAGGAGAGAGTTGAGGTAGGAGGGTGCTGTTCCAGACAAGGTCTTATACGTGAGCATTTTCTTGTGCTTGCAGGTTCATTATGAGAATCAACCTGTGCTGTAGTACAATTAGATTTTCTTACAGGTAGAAATTGTATTTAAATATAAATTACAAAGGAAATCTTAATTAAATGCAATTTAAATACGTTATTATATTATATTGTATTTCTATAATATTTGTAAATGATTTGTTTTAATGAAAATATTGTGATTATACTGTAAATGAAAATACAGTAATATTACTGTAAACAATTTTACAGTAACTTACTGGCATCCGGCTGCTGGTAAGTTACTGTAAAGTTTACAGCAACTGTTTAACATTGGAGAAACCATAAAGATGACGTAGAAAAACAAACTCATGAAACCGGATTACCCGGAGGAAACCCCCCCGCAGAACATGCAAACTCCACACACACACGGCCCCTGCAAGAATCAAACCCTGGACCCTGGAGGTGTGAGGCGAACGTGCTAACCACTAAGCCACCGTGCGTCCAACTCACGAGTTCATGAATTCATGAATTCAGAAATACCTCTGATGCTCATATTCAGATGTTGGTCATAAACTCATAAGTTCTTGGTTACACAATTGGATTTTTTGACTCTATAGTACACAGTTATAGAAGATAAATTTTTAATGTGAGGGTTTTTTATGATTTTAAAAACTACATAATTAAACTAATAAAACTACACACTCAACCTGCAGCCCAAAAATATAATCACATCAGAATAGTTCCTGTTACGCTCTGTGTTTTTGCTGTAGAGATAAGGCAGTGTGAAGGTCACGATGCAAGATTAACACTGTTCACACTGAGCTCAGCCTCACATCTGTATGATATCTAAATTAGATTTTTAGTTATTATTATTATTAACATTAAAGCCTGTAACACACCGTGTGACCACATCATCACATGGTTTGAGACACAAGAACAGATCACAGATCAACCACAGACCCCCCCAGAGACATAAAATTTACAGTCACACTGGTGCTGTTGCCCATTACACCCCTCAATAATCTCCCTCTGTGTGTGTGTGTGTGTGTGGCGTT